TTTTTTTAGAAGTTTATAAAAATTTTTATATGATTTTTATATATAAAAATTTTTTGAAAATAAAATTAAAAGCCGGGTTGCCGGGTCATTTTTCAAAGTTTATGTTATGAGAACCAAAAAATTAACTTTGTATGGCCTTATATACAGTATTTAAAAAATTTTTTTTATATAATAGATAATATTTGAAAATAAGAATTACAAAATAGTAACATTTATTTTAACTGATAAGAAAACAAAAATAAAATTGTTTATATACTAAAAATATTAAAAATTTAAAAAATTTTTTTTTAAAAAATTAAATTTATTTTTATTTTTTGATAATAAAATTCTAAACTTATCTTCTTTATTTAATAAAAACTTTTTAACTTTTTCAATAAAAGTTTAACTTCAATTAGAAGCAAAAAGTCTTTTGAAGTCGTGTATATATGAAAATTTAAAAAATTTTATATTAAGTTCAGAATTAATAATATTTAAAAAATTAAATATCTTTAATAGCATTAAAAACTATATCTAAATTTTTATATACCGTATTATATACTAATTAATTATATGCTAGATTTTTATTTTAGCTTAGAAATAGAAGGTAGGCAATTTTCATAACATTTAAGTGGCCAAATTTGGCCGCTAGACGGTTTAAGAATAAAATGATATAAAGCTATTGCCTAAATATAATATGTGAAACAAGTAAAATAATAATATTTGACAAAATTTAACACGTTTCAAATAGGAAACTATTTTCTTAATTTTAACCTGAATAATAACTCTTTACAGGTAATAAAAAGATTAAAATTAGTTTTAAGTGAAGCATCCATATCAACTAATTCAACATCATATTTTCTATAAATCATAGCCATTAAACACTTTAATTCGATCATTGCTAATTTTCTTCCAGGGCATATGCGTAATCCACCTCCAAACATCGCAAATAGATTTTTAATATCGTCTTTATCATTTATTCTCTCTTCTTTATTATTTACTAAATCATTATAAAACCTATCAGGATTAAATTTTAATGGATTATTCCATATATCAGGATGTCTAAACATAGGTTTATGAAATAGGAAAAATTCAGTATTAGCTGGCCAAATATATTCACAAATCTCATCTTCTTCTGAATTTGAACGAATAATTAAAGAGACTACTGGATGTAGTCGATATGCTTCTTTAATTATCGATTCACAATACTTAAGGTTGTCTAAATCTTTAGGTGTCATTTTTCGTGTTCTGTCATTTTGGAATATTGAGTCAAGTTCTTGATGAAAACGAGATAAAACTTGCTTGTAGTGTGCAAGATAGTAGACTATAAAGCAGAATAAATTTGCAGTCTGTTGAAAAGAATAAAAAAAGAACAAAGACATTCAAAATTAGAAATATGAAATATATAGATATATTAAATTTATAATAAACTGAAAGAAATTACAGTATCAGTCCCTCCAATAAATGCATCAATTAAGTTTCCACAAATCTCTTCATTTTTCATAGGTTTTTCATTGTATTTTTCTGAGAATTTCCCCTTATTCGTATCTCTATCAGTATTCGCAATAATGAAAGAAGTCAACATATCACTCCTTAATTCTTCATCTAATGGAATTTCATTAATTTCTCGTCGACGTTTTTCAATAATATTTATTAATCTTTGATATAAATACTTTTTATTATCGAGATATTTACGAACAATTCCTCGTATGTATGGAAAATAGTAACGAAAAAATTTCGGACATAGGCGAAAATAGATGATTCCTTCAATATAAGTTTGAGTGCAAGTTATAACACTATTTTGTTCCGTTTCTTGATTATTAACTTTACATACATTATCTTGATTATTAACTTTACATATATTAT